GGGGAGGGGGTGGGCCGGGCCGCCTGCCGCGCGGAGAAGAGGGAGGCTGCGTTCGTCATTTGGGGTCACTGACCCGCACTCTGAGGGGAGGCGGCCCTGGAAGCCTGGACTCGCCTTTCCAGGCGCTGATGGACCGAAGTTTCCCAGTCTAGGGCCCAGAGGCCCCCCCAACACGTCCGAGGTCCAGCCCTTGGGGTTCCCTCATCTCCTTATTCAATCATGCATGCGCTGTCCCTCATTATTCATTCTTTCATTCATTCCCGCATTCACTACTCCTCCAACTGCCCTCTCAAATCACTCACCCATCGTTTCACTCACTCAGCCCTTCACTCAATCCGTTCATTCCTTCATTCACTCACCTGTTCATCTTCACTCACAAATCCACTCATTGTCATTCACTCATCACCTGTTCCTCACCTACTCATTCAACTGTTCAGTCACTCACTCATTCATTCATTTATTCTCTCATCCATTGGATCACTAATCCATTCATTCATCTACTCATTCATTCATTCAGCTATTCCTCACTCATTCATTTGTTCATTCCTTCACTCACTACTCCATCACTCATTCACTCACTCATCTATTCATCCATCCACTCACTACTCCACCCATTTATTCATTCATCTACTCATCTGTTCATCCGCTCACTCACTACTCCATCCACCACTCATTCATCCACTCATCTGTTCATCCATTCACTCCATCCATCACTTGTTCATCCACTCACAACTCTATCCATTCACTCATTCATCTACTCATATGTTCATCCATTCACTCCATCCATCACTTATTCATCCACTCATCTGTTCATCCACTCACTAATCTGTTCATCCATTCACTCACTACTCCATCCATAACTCATTCATTCACTCATCTGTTCATCCATTCACTCACTACTCCATCCATCACTCATTCATCTACTCATCTGTTCACTCCCTACTCCATCCATTCATTCATTTATTCACTCACCTATGCATCCACTCACTCATCTGTTCATCCATTCACTCACTACTCCATCCATCACTCATTCATCCACTCATTTGTTCATCCATTCACTCACTACTCCACTCACTCATTCAATCATTCATTTGTTCAATCACACATCCATTCATTCATTCACTCACTAATCTATTCATTCACTCATTCATTCAGTTATCCATTTGCTCATGAATCCATTTTTTCTTTTATTCATTCACCCATTCTTTCCCTCACTCAAATGCTCACTCAGTCATTCACTCATGTTCACTCATTAATTAATTCATTTATTCATCTAGCTACACTCTAATCCATTCATTCATTCACTCACTGGTGTTCACCATTCATTCACTGACACATTCATTCACTCACTCAGTCATTCAATTACTCATTCACGCACTCGTTGATTCCCTTGCAAATGCACCGAATCACCCACTCCTTGTGGAGTTTCTGCTCAGAGGAGTGGCCTGAGGACAAGGAAGCGAACATATCCATAGTACAGACTTGTTCCTGCTGCAGGAAGCAGCATCCTCAGATCACATGCCATTGCATTAGGAGTTGCCCATGAGTGCGTCCCATCCTCTGGTCGGAGACCAGCTTGTCCTGAAAGTCTAGCAACCCAGGACTGTAGGTGGTCTGACCCTCTGGCCAGAACAAGTCCATTTCAGAGAT